GGTCGTTCAAGTGACGTTTATCAGAAACGATCTGGCGGACGCGGTTCTTTCCGCTTATGGCTCCCTCATCGTTATCGTCAAGGGTGATTGAAGGCTCTGTATAATTGGAACGCTGTAGAATATTCAGGGATGATGATGATGACTGTATTTGAGCTGTCACACCTCGAGCTCTTCGAGATGGCGTTTCGTCCGTTTTGTGATTACGTCTAAGGCAAGTATCTGCTTCGTGGCATTGACGTGTCTCGGAGCTTTAGTGGTATGAGAACTGAACGAATCTCAATGAGACAGCAAGGCATACCTTGCTCTCTTGCTCTCTTCGGTGCCATCAAAATCAGCTGACAACAGGAGCGAGAAAAAGCCTGAGCACGCCATCCAATGACTATTCCTTTTATAGAAAGAATATTCGTCGATAATGATGAAAATAGTGAATTCAGTAGCTATTCGGTACCGAATAAGGATAATATAGTAGGCACGTGATGAAAGTGGTCTCATAGATCATCTCGTGTTATAGCCAAGCTGATCGTCTGTCTCTTACTCTCTAACCCATTTCACGATGACTTCGACCAATCCCAAAGTGTTGATACAAGACCTTCCAACTCCAGAGCCAGAAACTCCTTGCAGGCCTCGCCAGCCTTACCGGTTTTCGACCCTCTGTGCTACAGTAGAGAACCCTTCTCAAAAGGATCAATATGGTTCCAGCTCTGTACCAATATACCAAACTGCCACTTTTAAAGGTGTCGGTGGACAGTATGATTACACTCGCAGTGGAAATCCAACACGCAGTCATTTAGGTGGGTGTCATCTCATCGTGTGCTCACAGATAGCCTTAATGCACTCTTTAGAACATCATCTTGCTAAAATATCATCTGCTGCTCATGCTTTTGCTGTGTCTTCTGGCATGGCCGCCCTCGATACCATCTTGCGTATGCTCAAGCCTGGTGATGAAGTCATCGCAGGAGATGACCTTTACGGTGGTACTAACCGCATTCTTGCTTATCTCAAGACACATGGCGGAGTCACCGTACATCATGTAGACACCACTAAACCTGATACTCTCCTTCCTTACATCAATCCTGAAAAGACCGCTATGGTTCTCCTCGAGAGTCCAACTAATCCTCTGCTCAAAATAGTTGATCTTGCCCGCATAGCTGCCGACATCAAGGAACGCGCCCCCAATGCCGTCATCGTGGTCGATAACACCATGATGAGTCCCTACTTGCAACGCCCTCTCGAGCATGGCGCAGATATTGTGTACGACAGCGCTACCAAGTATCTCAGTGGGCATCATGACCTTATGGCCGGTGTAATTACCTGTAACAGGGATGACCTTGCCAAGGTATGTAACTCGTCCTTTGCTTTACGCTCCCTTCTCATATTCGAATCAGCAAATGGGATTCATCATCAATGCTGCTGGCAATGCACTCACTCCATTCGACTGTTTCCTCCTTCTACGAGGATCGAAGACCCTTGCCATTCGCATGGATCGCCAGCAGGCTACTTCCATGCTCGTCGCCCAGATGCTTGATCGCCTTGGTTTCAAAGTCCACTACCCCGGTCTCGCAGAGCACCCTAACCGTGATGTACATGAGCGAATTGCAGACGGATATGGTGCCGTCCTCAGTTTCACTACTGGTGACAAGGCTTTAAGTGAGCGTATCGTCGGTGCGACACGTCTATGGGGCATTAGTGTCAGCTTTGGTTGTGTCAATTCACTGATCAGCATGCCATGCGTCATGTCGTATGTTATGTCTGTCTCGTTTTCCTCGATCGTTTTATTGATGTTTCCTTAGACACGCATCTATTGACCCTGCTACCCGCGCTGCGCGGGGCCTGCCAGAAGACCTGATCCGACTTTGCGTTGGTATCGAAGACCCAGCTGACCTTCTCGACGACCTCGAACGTGCTCTTCTGGAGGCTGGCGCGATCACCCTTACCGCAGGTGGGGACTCGCACCAACGCTATGTTCGGACGATCCCTTCAGAGGGCACTGCGATCTCTCGTGCTGTCCAAAAACTTGCGTTTAACGAGTCTGCGGGATATGCGACAGAGCGCAATGAGGACAGAGAGTGGTTCGTCAGCGCACCAGGAAAAGTCATTCTCTTCGGTGAACATGCTGTCGTGCACGGTGTTGTGAGCCTACTCTTTTATTCTCTGCTCTGCACGCATTAACAGATGTTTTAGACCGCAGTGGCTGCAAGCGTTGATCTCCGGTGCTATGGTGTCACGACACCTCGTCATGATGGTAAAGTCAGCGTGCACTTCATCGATATCGATAGCTTCAGGCAAGAGTGGGAAGTGGACGACCTCCCTTGGGATGCAGTCACTCCCGTGCGAGTCGGTGATTTCCACCCTGACAGTCTAGACCACAAGCTCGTTGATGCTATTACTACTCGTGCGTTGTCCCCCGAAGTTCTTGCAAAGCCGAGTGCACGACAGGCATGTATTGCGTTCCTGTACATGTACATGATCATGGCACATGGCGGGAACAGGTGAGCCCCCCACTACCTAGACTTCATTTAATGATTTATCAAAAGTCGTCAGACCATCTTTTAACTTCTCTGCTCGCGCCACGCTTCCTGTTGGCGCAGGCCTCGGTTCCTCCGCATCATTTTCCGTCTGCGCAGCCACCGCTCTCTTGCTTTTGTACTCCCGTATCCAGCTCCCAGCACAGCCCGCCCCTACCACCGATGGTCACGTCCACGTCTCTCACGAAGGTCGGCGTGCAATACCGCCAGCACTTGCTGAGGAGGTCAACCGATGGGCATTCGTGAGCGAGAAAATCTTGCATGGCAACCCCAGTGGCGTAGATAACTCTGTTGCGGTGTTTGGCGGCGCACTTTCGTATACTAGACCAGGATTTGGTAGAAAAGCGGGCATGATTCCCATTCAGGGGTATGTTTAGTACCGTTTGGGTTTTGGTGGACTACTGATTTTTTGCAGTTTCAAGTCTCTCAAATTCCTCTTGACGGACTCGAGGGTACCAAGGAACACAAAGCAGCTTGTGGCTGGCGTGGCTGCATTGAAGGAGCAAGAGCCTGAGTTTGTCAACGGGCTGCTCGGTGCAATACAACACATAAGCGACGAGGCGCAGCGTGCGCTTGCTGATCCCCAATTGTCACGGCAAACATTGCTGTCAGCTCTATCGGTACGTTCGTCCCTTTTGTTTGTTTCCGGAACGCTCAGAAAATATACCTTTTCAGGCTCTTATCGATGAGAACCATGGCCACCTTGTGAAGCTTGGGGTATCACATTCATCTCTCGAAGCCATCCGCTCCAAAACTGCTTCCCCTCCATACTCACTCAGCACAAAACTCACTGGTGCCGGAGGTGGAGGTTGCGCAGTAACGCTCGTCCCTGATGGTAAGTACCCTCTACATATAGTTGATCTCTACTCACTCACTCGCTCTCAAGACCTCTCGGAATCCAATCTTCGCGAACTGATGACAGCATTATCCATGGACAGTTTCGTGCCCTACCTCACGTCAGTCGGCGGAAGTGGTCTTGGCATCCTCTCACCATACAACCAGCCTCAACTGCTGGCGACGCCCCCCGAAACGCCCCGTGAAGGCGAGGCCGGTGCCGGGGCTGTCGAATTATTACGCGATACATTTGCTGGTAAGGCGACGGCAGATCTCTCGGCGTGGGCAGATAGTCTGGGACGATGGCTTTTTGTTTGAAAAAGTGAACCGAGGTGTGGTCTGTTTGCATAGATCTATGTTATTTGATGAGTACGAGGAGTGTATGTATGTTATGGGACGTTCTTGTATGATTGATGCTGTAGCGATGGTTTCAATGGCATAGACCAGTAAAGACATGCATTGATGTGAAAATGCGCTCGTTCACGTAGAGCAGCCTACCAATCGTAGCCAACTAATGTGCATAAGTATTATTATGACAGAGATGCGTCTTGATCGGTAAGTCATTCCGTGCCGTTCTCTCAATAATCCATGGTCATCAACATGCGGTGTTGAGCGTCGCATTCAGCCCAGATTTGTGTGAACGTTTAATGCATTCAAATCACTGCGGCTCGCTAATGTCTTGACTTCGTTATACATTGCCTCCCTCAGGGCTTTCTCGGTTTCTTTTCCTATACTCGTGCCAGTTGATGTCGCAAGGCGGTCCGCTATTACTGCTCTGAGTGCTTTTGAAATCGTAAAACGATGCCCCTCAAGCGCAACACGCGCGTCGCTTTGAGAGCCGACTTTTGCGTTGATCAAAGAATTGCAGTGAAACTCGGAGGCGCCGGAATAAATCTGCGTACCATGGGCAATCGAGAATCAACTTCATGTTTTATTACCTCATTCATGCACCCTTCGCCTGCCGGCGCGAGTCATGACCCAGTAATCGCAAGGGAGAACATCATTCCAGCAGCGAATGCACGCCGGCTATCAATCACTGCTATAGCAGGAAGTATAACGAAACAGATGAATAACAAAAGACAAAGAACTAGCAACATACTTTGGTATGTGAGAAGATGCGCGAATAAGAGGTCATGTCTGTTAAGAATGTATTTAGTGCTTCAAACTCCTTGGACAAGATTGAATGCACGTATACCATTCACTGCTGTCTCGTACTTGAATCTATTGCTGAAGAGAATAGAGCTGCCCATCAAACGAATCTAGGTGGCCAAGCAAGGCACATAAGAGCACATTTTACACGACGGGGGCATACCTTCCATCGGATCACATTCTCTTGACTGACAGGCACCCGAGTCGCGAGTTCGGTGAGCGGTAACAAGACAACGGGGGGAAAGATGGACGCCGAGTGTGATGGCGGTACTAGTCGCGTCAGCGGTCTCTGAGCAACGCGTGGATTTTGGAACGTCTAGCATCACAGTCTGCAGTTTTGCATCAACTCTTGACGCGCCAAAAACCTTTTGGAATGGACTGCCTTCCATTTCGAGTAATTATCCAACCCCGCTGTCCATTGCAAATACAAAGTTCCGTCGACGTGCCTCTTGCCGAACTACTGTTTAATGTCCTCTTCGGGGTGACATACGAAAAATTGGAACGATACAGAGAAGATTAGCATGGCCCCTGCACAAGGATGACACGCTTTCCCGGAGTGGTAGACCTACGGGTCTCAATATTTATTATTTCTTTTTCCAAAGGTTTGTGGGTTGCTCGTCCCTTGCGCAGACCTTGTGTGAAGGTTGGCTTGGCTGCCAGCAGTACCCAGGAAGGTCAGCATCAAGGTTATATTTGATTCATTGTCTACGCAACATTTCCGGAAATCCTTCTGTTAACCATAACCCTATGTAGATGTGTCACAATCCTATTTTTGGGTCGTGACAACGTTTGTGACGATTTTCGGTGTAGGCTAATATACTATATTTTCCATGAAGACGTACTTTTCTGCGATAATAAGTGATAAAGTTGACTAAAACCAAATCATTCTGCAAATTTCGCATGGGAGGTTTTCCCTGATGAGGGGATGCCCGGATGTGAGGATGAGCATGATGATGAGTGACCCTTCCTTTTTGATTGTGGCTATTGAAGTTTCTTGTTATAATTGACAATACAGCATTTTATAGGTACTTACAATCTTGATAGCTTTGATTTATCGCTAGTATTACCCTCCCGGCGACGGCGTACACATTTTGCCACTGTTTGCCACTTGTACTACTGTAAAGTCTTTGATTACATAATGTCACACTTTTCTTAGAGGCGTTGCCCATCCCCACTATTTGCTTGCGACAGAACCCTCTTCCACTAAAGTGGAGTCGGGGATCAGTGCTACAGGGACTTGTGTCCCAACAGCTTCGTGAGTCGTAATTTACTTCACCTAGTCTCATATATAAAGATCCAATTTCTCACACATTTATCACGAGTTCAATACAGAGTTATGGAACTCGATCGTAGCCCTTAGATTCTTCCTGCTGAATCTCCAGAAACCGACTATCGAAAACTCCTTGACGAGGACACCCGATGTGCGTCCAATATCACCCTCAATTCAATGTCCTCTATCTTGCGGAACCTCTACTTTCATATCGCCTCATTGTCACCCCCCATTTGCTTGCTCTTACCCAGTGCCTTTTATCCTCCAGCTGTTTTTTCATACCTCACAGCCCACAACATCCCTACACGCATCGTTTTCATGTTGCTCTCGTTCTCACTGCCTTCGTCGTAGATATCGCGACTACATACTGTACTGTATAGCAATGAACTACATCTTTCGTCCCATCCAATTTTTAGCCCACTTCGAATGTACTCGGTGCAACGGGGACTTGAACGACCACAGATGCTAACCGCAACAACGATGTGCTTCTGCTCAGCTTCTCAGTTTGCCATGAGAAAGCACCGATGTTATGCATCGTGACTTTGACGCAATCCACGGCGCACTCGCAACCGCATTTTTGATGGAATCGGCATGCCTTGTCCCTCGTTATGTGTTCTCACAAACCAGCACTAACATCATGAGTACCATACCGTCAGCTCACGTCGTTCACATGTACAATCCTAAATTCGTTGGGTATGGAATATAACACCAAGTATGATCCACTGTACACTCGCTCACGTCTGATTGTTGCGAAATCTCCACAATGAATCCATTGCCGCAAGCATCGCTGGTACTAAGGTCTGCAAATATTGATTTTAGTAAGTGAGTAACAGAAAGGGCATTGAGGAGACTCACTCCTCTCGGCACTCTTTCCAGTGTTGTCCATGTTTCATGCGGCTCAAATCAAGTTCGGACATCTGGGTATCACTAATAAAGTTCCCGGGCTCCAAAATGAATTTCGAGAAGCAGGTGGTACCCAAAATAACAGTTGATGTTTGGGCCCTACTACCCATCCACTGTCATCATTTACGACAAAGGGGGTCGAACTGCGATCGTCATGGAGTGCTCCCTCCGTTAATCGAGAAGTGTTGCGCAACGCATGGATAGAGTTGGGCGAGAAGCAGACGAAGTGATTGTTCCAAGTACTCAATGTCATGAGAGTGGTGGACTCGATGGGATGCATGACGCGATGTTTATTTGATAATGCTGAAGGATCTGACACGCAATATTGCGACGGCTGGCTCATCACTGCACCCCACAGCCGAACAGTCTTATCGCTCGAACCAGTGACGATGCGAGTGTCATCCGGCGAGAACGAGACTGAGTTTACTAAATCAGTGTGTCCCCGCAAGGGCTCACCGACTGGCTCCCCCGTCCCTGCATCCCACAGTCGAACAGTCTTATCCTCCGAACCAGTGACGATGCGAGTGCCGCCCGGCGAGAACGAGACCGACATTACTGAATGAGTGTGCCCGCGCAAGGGTTCACCAACTGGCTCCCTCGTCCCTGCATCCCACAGCCGAGCAGTCTTATCCCTCGAACCAGTGACGATGCGAGTGCCGTCCGGCGAGAACGAGATCGACGTTACTGAATGTGTGTGCCCCAGCAAGGGCTCACCGACTGGCCCCCCTGTCCCTGCATCCCACAGCCGAACAGTCTTATCCTCCGAACCAGTGACGATGCGAGTGCCGTCCGGCGAGAACGAGACCGAGTTTACTGAATGAGTGTGCCCTCGCGAGGGCTCACCAACTGGCACCCCTGTCCCTGCATCCCACAGCCGAACAGTGTGATCCGAAGAACCAGTGACGATGCGAGTGTCGTCCGGTGAGAACGAGACCGACAAAACTGAACGAGTGTGCCCCCGCAAGCGCTCACCGACTGGCACCCCCATCCCTGCATCCCACAGCCGAACAGTGTTATCAGAAGAACCAGTGACGATGCGAGTGCCGTCCGGCGAGAACGAGACCGACGTTACTGAATGAGTGTGGCCCAGCAAGCGCTTACCGACTGGCTCCCCTGTCCCTGCATCCCACAGCCGAACAGTCTTATCCGAAGAACCAGTGACGATGTGAGTGCCGTCCGGTGAGGACGCGACCGACGTTACTGAACGAGCGTGCCCCCGCAAGGGCTCACCGACTGGCTCCCCTGTCCCTGCATCCCACAGCCGAACAGTCTTATCGTCTGAACCAGTGACGATGCGAGTGCCGTCCGGCGAGAACGAGACCGACGTTACTGAAGAAGTGTGCCCCCGCAAGGGCTCACCGACCGGCTCCCCCGTCCCTGCATCCCACAGCCGAACAGTCTGATCCCTTGAACCAGTGACGATGCGAGTGCCGTCCGGCGAGAACGAGACCGACGTTACTGAAGAAGTGTGCCCCCTGAGCACGGTCTGAACAGCTGGCCAATTCATATCACGTCCAGATGCCACACGAAGAGTATTCGCAAACCGTGCAGAAAACTTTCTCGATAGCAGACTGTTGGCAGGCGAGAATGGGAGTGCTGATACATACAGATGTGGCGTGCTATGTAAAATCATGCCGCCGAAGACTTGAATGAACCTCTGTACGTCCATTGCAGTCGACAAGACATCTTTGAATTTAGGATGGCCCTGTGGTTGCGCATAAGTACTTTATCTGGCACTCAGTAGCAACGCACTCACCTTCAGCCACTGGGGAATGAGTGAGAGAGCAGGAACTGCGCCGCTGAGCGCATTGATCAGGGCGAGCGACTCAAGCCAGAAAAACAGCCGCTCGTTGTCGAAAAACAATTTCACTTCTTTCGCGAGCTCCTTGTCAAAGGATGTGGTTCGTACGTGCGAAGTCCAAAATCGAGAGGAATATGATAGATGTTGGGGGATGCATCGTTGGATTCGTCCTTGCAGTCCAGGATCTTCGCTATTAGGAAGATACGACGACTTTAAATCACAGATATTGAAGCGAAGGCCGTGTTCCATAACTCGAAGTGACGCGAATGCAAGGTCGCGTTGCGACTCCAACACGTCGACGAAAAACTCTCCACTGCACGGTTGATCCGTCAGGAAATCGCGGAAGGACGCGTGAAGGGGTCGGATTGGAGAGTCTGGGTTGGTGATCCCGCTAAGAAGGGAACCCATGTATTTTACAATGAGATTCACGTTAAAATTGTCCTCTTTCTTTGGAAAATGGTCCCTCATGGTGTTCAAGGAAGCTAAAGGAAGGGGTTCAGCTGTGCCTAGTATCTGTCCCATCACTGAGCGAAACCTCGCTAACGCAGTCGAACGCAGTTTCTGCGAATGCGGAGATGCATCCCCGGGCATGATATCTTTTAAAATCAGGCGATACATGTCGTGCAATAGCGTGCTTTTCTCAGCAGGATTGCGTGACACCACAGCCTCGTAGCACTCCATTGGAGATAGCCCAGCATGGGAATCTCTGATGTATCCGCAAGCGAGACGCGCCCACTCGAAAAGTCCATCGGCTTTCTCCGCGAGGACTGCGTACTCTCTGTTCTGGAAATCCAGTCCCTCCAACTCCTTGGATACGTAAGCACGGATGTCGCGCTCTGCATCTGCTCGTGGAATGTCATCCATCGACATCTGTTGAATATGCTGAACGTCACCAAACTTGTCTTTGATGTCATCAAGCGGGCGAGAGGTAACGATAAAGCGGAAGTTGCCAAGGAGATCTGTGATTTTGGGAACAGCAGGATTGTGATGATTGCCGGCTAGAATACGGAGGAGGTCTCTCCGTATCTCTACTCCACCGCTCTCGTCCAGTGCATCGATTACGATCACGATGGGCTCTCCAGTTGACCCAGATGACTTCTCCAGCGGTTCAATAAGAATCTTCTGCCACTGCTGGATGATATCTGCCGTCTTCTTGAGCGAATTCGCGGTCTTAACTGCATCTGCCAATGCCCGCCTCATCTCCGGATCACGGTCAGCCAGGTCGCGCGCGATTGTGGAAAAGATCTTTTCATGGCGACGATCTGCATCTCGCTGGCGGTCAAAACAGTAACACGAACTAAGCCCTCCCACGTCATTGGCCCACTTAGCAATAGTGTGGGCGATGGCCGATTTGCCCTTGCCCGCAGGGCCAGATAGCCACAGCACGCGTGGAACGTTGTCCCCAGTGCTGTTGACCCATTCTGTGATCTGGGAAAGGATTTCCTTGCGCGTCCCTTCAAGGCATTGTTTCCTGGTATCTAGTCCCGCGCCCTCTGCATAAGTCATACCGCTGAGGTCCGATATTTCTTCTGAAAAAGTATGAATATATGTCAAGTCACAAGGACGTCCGAACCCTTACCCGTACGGTGGATGTGTATGGATATGTCGTGGACCTGTGCGCCTATGTCGTGGACGCCTATGGCTACATCGCGAGCAACCTGATCCCGGAAGTTTTGCATGAGCCCCTCGAACACGTCATTGTATTTTTTGATCGTATCGTCCGTTTCCGAGAGCACGTCCTTTCCAAGTCTCTTCCCTGTGATTATCGTAAAAGCTCGA